CTTCCGAAAGTTTCTGGTTTTTCCCCAGAGTTTGCTTTCGAGCAAGGGGAGGGGGGGTTGGAGGGGAAGAGGTCGTCAGGATTTAACTATCATGGCAGTCCCTCTCCCAACAACGGCCAAATACGACCTTTCCCCTCTTTACAGCGTCCGTGAAACAAGAGAAATCAACTATCAAAAAAATTTTCTCAGACCAAATACGACCCCCTCCCTCGCGGTCAAATACGACCCCCCCCCTCCCCGTTGTAATCATCACAACGATGGCGTGCCCTGATTATGGAAGGAGCAAGGTGGCATGCTCATCTGATGATTTGACCCCCTTTCGGGGGTCAAATCCCGGATCGGCTCCCGTCCAGGCCAACCTAACATTTTACCTTGTAGGGCGGCAAATCGGTACCAGACCCGTCAGGCAGGCTTTAAGTTGCGCATCGGAGGCCTTCGCAGGTCTTTGTATGACCCATTATGGCCCATACCGCACTCAGTCAGCACCAACGATCCAGAATGGTAGTAGAAAACGTGCCGCGTCCCAAAAGGGTTTGATAATCTGCAAAAGGCAAGCTCACCTTCTTGTACAGACTTCGCCGGTAACGCAGTTGGGTGGGGGAGGGGATGACAGGGCATGCGGCGGAGCAACTATGCCTTTTCTTTTGCGCATCCTACCGAGACAGTGATCGTCTTCTCTCCCCCTGCTCAACCTTAGGCAGCTGCCATGGTGGGTCTGGAACTCATAGGGATAGGGCACGTCGTGGGGATTCCAAGCGGGGTTCGTACCAGAGAAGGACATTTTGAGGAGGTAGGTAGCAGTAGCTTGCAAATTTTCCCCCAATGCGCCATGATAGGAGGTCGACATTGGTGGCCATAGGGTGGTTTCTGACTTCGAGAAAATTTTTCCGACCTGCGAACCCATCCCTATACTGTATCCTTTCCCCTAGTCACTTCAACCGTCAGTATTTTTAAAAATTTCTGCTGCTCATCACGGTGAACGCATACAGGCATTTATAAACCAGAGTGGTTCTCCCACTAACTGCCGCTCCAAAAAGCTCCAGTTGGGATAATTGGGACGTCGTTGCTCCTGTTAGGTTTCTAATATACTAAAATTGAATGTTTCCAGTTGCGCAGAGTTCTCTACCAACAGTGAAGCTTGAAACGGATGAGTCAGCAGCGGGACCAAGCGGTTTTGACAACTCAATTGCGGCACTCGCAGAAGGGCTTCCTATGCCGTCGTCGGACCTGTTGTCACCTGATGGTGGTGCAGATGGAGCTGATAACAGGAAGGCGAACAACGTATGTGTTATAGCATTCGTTAAAAAATTCGTTCAAAAAAAGGATAATTTATTGATTTGTTTTTGTTCAAGACCAGGGGCACGATTGCTGGAGGCGGGCGGTTGTTGCCAGCGTCATTGGTGGAAGGGGTGCGAGAGGGCATTTGGTCGCACCCCACTCAGCCCTCCACCAATGAAGGTGGGTGGCGACAGCCGCCCGTCCCCACACTACTTTTGAATAGGTAGCTTCTTGTTTTTCGCTGTCCAAATTGTGACTCATTTTTTCCAGAAGAAAAAACGGCCAGATCGGTTCAAGCGAGCGAGACAGAAACGTGTCAAGGAAATAAAGCGAGAAGTTGATGGACTGGTCATACCCGCGCGTAACAAAGCACTTCCGCTAAAGGTGCGTGTGACCTGCTTTTGTCTGAAGTATAGCGCTAACCGCATGGTCTTCAGAATGTCATCCAAGGGTCGAAGACTGTGGCTGCTGCTCTTGCTGCTGCTCTTGGATCATCCACCTCTCCGACGGATGCATCTCATTCCCAAGCTGTTCCGCAGACAGAGCAGAGAGCTGAAACTCAGGAGGAGCGGACAGGATCCATACGCTCTTCAGGAACGAATGCGACGGCAACTCAACCAACTCCCTCGAGGTCGAAAAAGAATTCAACCGCTGCAGATGGGTACGAACACTTTCAGTTATCGATCTTAATAGAGTACAAATCAATCAATGATTTCCATAACTGCTTGAACCGCCTAAGGTCCAGATACAAAGTGTGTGCTCACCTAGGAGGATGGTTCTTGCCGTGGGGGTTGGGGGGAGGGGCGAATGGATATGCAGCTGCAGTAGCGTGCCATTTCCTCCGGTCAAAAGTGCACGGGAAGGGGCAGCAGGGTGGTGGTAGCCGAGTGCCGCTTCCATATCCGCTTTCCTCTAGATGCAGCGTTGCGCAGGTATGGATGCGCAGCGAAACACGCACTCAGCGAAAGAGAACAGCCAGAAGTTGGAGGGCGCAGACGAAGAGTTTGGGTATTTAGGAGGGTTACGTGAAAAACTTGATGGGAGGTCGCGCAGTGCGCAGAGCAATAATAAGAACTGTCACTGCTGAAGCTTAGTGAGGGGCCAGAAACATGACGCGAGCTATTAGATGGGTTTTTTTTTCGAAGGGAGGGGGAACCGGGGTGGATGACCCACTTAGTATGCATGGAAAGTTGGAATGTTGGAATGTGAAAGGTCAGAGTGGTCACAGGCGTTAGGCAGGCAGGGGAACGCAGAGAAAAGTAGAAAGTTGGCGCGCCATTGGAGGAATTGAGTTTCAGTTCGACGTAGACCGTTTAGGTGTAAGGCCAGGCGGCAACGGAGACGGCAGCCGGGTATCATTCCCCTTCCACCAGCCCCGTTCCCGTGCATTTTGACCATGACGAAAATGGACGCTTCTGCAGCTGTGATCCATGAACTTCGGATATGTTAAGTGAGCAAGGGATGTGCGGAGATGAGTCAGAGGGGCTGATATTCCTCCAGAGCTATATGCTGACTACTGGAGTTAGGCTGCTTCCGCGTACTTCTGTCCTGTTCTGAAAAGACACAAATTGTAGACGTAGGTGTCGCATCTCGTCCTACAGGTTCGGATGTGAGTATTGTATTCGTAAAAGATGTTTTGGTAATGATGTTGGCAGCAGTTCGGCGACCGAGGGGGGGGGCATCTTGCACTTTGCTTTCTGGAGAGAGCTTGGTGTGAGCTTACAAGTATTGACAGGTTTTATGATGGTAGCTTGACGAGCCTACTCTATCTTAACACGAGTTCACATTTTTTAAGTGAAACTTGAAAACCGGAACTGGTGCTGCAGTGAAAGTGCAAAACCCCCCCCTGTCGCCGAACAGGCCCTAATAGGTTTCCTGGCCAGCGGACAAGCGTGAGGTCATCTGGAAGACCTGGTTGGACCTAGGATTTTCGCTCACAGCTCAGCTTTTTGTATTAGTTAGCACATTACTAGCTCCATAAGGTGAATTTTTCAGAGATCACGAGGAGACAGAACTTGCCCTGGGCAGGGTTACAAAGAAGCCTCGACTCTCAGCACCCTCGACCGCTACTAGCGGTGCAACGGAGGGTTTGAATAAGGTTGATAATATTGGATCAGACTACTTTAGGCGACGTCTACGTCCACCAAGGTGATACTAATTGTAAGGGCTAACTAATTTTGTTTTATTAATGTTAGAAGGTTTTGTTTCGTTTAGGCGTTCTTCTGTTCTTAACCTTTCAACTTTTTTTTTCTTACATTTGTCTACATTCAGAATGTTGACTTTTTCTCTTGCTCTCGGGTATAGTTCATTCTCATTTGAGTATCTCCTTTACAAAATTAGAATTCGACACGATGTTCTTCATTGTGCATGTTTTCTTATTGTACAGAGCTCTTTTTCAAGAGAACCTTTTATTTGTAAGTTGTTGTGTGTCAGAATACATTGGTATATGCTTCCTTTAGCCCTTGTGTCGAAATAGTAGTGAAGAACATTGAATGACGCAAGACAGATCCTGAAATAGGATTTTTGGGAATTTACTCGTATCGGAACCAGGGCACGCCATGGCGTTGTTATAAATTCGTGAAAAATACGACCCCCCTGTTCCATCCTCTGATACGACCCCCTCCCCTCTACCTACCACTTTCCTCCATGTTCCCATCTTCCTACCAGTTTTCTCCAAGATGTCGCGAAAAATTTCTAGTTCCTCTCCAAAATTTTGCTGTCGAGGGGGGGGGGGGCGGTGGTATATAACATCAGTAGAACAGGAACCAAGAAAATTTTTTTCCCAATTCCGAAAATTCCTCGCAAAGACAAATACGACCCTCCTCCCAACAACGAGTGAATGCGTCCCCCCATTTATAGCGTCCGTGAAATAAGAGAAATCCCCTATCAAGAAAAATTTTTCATCCCTTATCAAGAAAAAATTTTTTCACAGACTGAGTACGACCCCCTTCCTTCGCGGTCGAATACAACCCCCATTGGGATTATCACAATCTGGCGTGCCCTGATCGGAACTAAATTGGGCGAAACTTACCTTTGCAATTTCTGTTAGCGTGTACTTGTCAGCGACCTCTTTGCAGTCATATATTACCATGGCGCGGCAGCGAAGCTAAAGGTGTTTAGAACTTAGAAGCTCAGAAAGGTTCACGCTAAATAAATCCTTTTTTGGGATGTGGGACCCATTCTACTTCCAGTTCTGATTA